AAGTAACTTCACCTAGATAACAGCTATTGTCACAAGATTTGTTGTACTTTAATGCTGTCCAAGGGAATGACTCATACAAGAAGGCTTTCAATTTTAATCAACATAAACCCCTGCTTCAAACTTGTAGTCAGCATAAAACCTTACATGACCCCTCACATTTTTTACAATCATGTCTGCAGATATTTGCATATTCTAGAAAACTGCTTTATTTTTTGTACCACTTAGCATTATTGGTCATGTTCCATTACAATGCAATTCTGTTGTGCATGCAGACACATAGGAACTGTACCACCGATACTTAGCGCAGCTTCACAGAGCACTAGGGTATGGAGAAACTGCAACATCCAACAATTCTTTATTGCTCTTATTTTAAAGTTTTGGTGTGGATGCCTCTTGTCACCTGTCCAGCTTAGTTAACTCTCTGGGGTTTCCCTTTTCAAATATGAGTAGCAGAGATCAGGAGTTCGAAATAGAAGAAAAGCTGTGATTGTCTGGGAACCTGCAAAAGGAACCATGACACTGAATTTAGCACCAGCGTGCATAGAAAAAGAAATAAATCTGGTGTCCTTTCTGAAAAAAGAATACTTTTAAGTTCCGGGGCATAGTTTCCACTACATTAATTTTTGGTAAAGAAGATGTAACATCAGCCTGAGAAAACTTCTGTGAAATTCTCATACAATGACAGATTTGTTCAGCAGCTTTTTTTTTTTCTTTCTTTCTTTTAAATTGTTCTTTTCTTGGGTCCCTACCAATGACGGACAGCTACTTGCATGGGAATGCAATTTCAGCAATGCAAATAAGTGGAAATCTGAATTCATAGCTTCATTCTTCCCCCAGTACAAATCTCTTTGACCGGACCATCTTACATTAAAGTAATTGTATTAGAAATACTTTAGTAATGAAGTTTTAGGACACTTTGCAAGTGAAAAAAAAACCACTTGAACATCGTTGACCCAAATTCAATATGTGAGAAGTAAGTATGTGAAAAGTCTCACAAGATTTGAAGTTTCTTGAAAAGACATGCAGAAGACAGCAAGAAACTTCATCTGTGAGTGATAGCAAAGCAGCAATATCTTCACCAACCTGCTGGGAGATGTGGAAATTCACCATTTTTTTGGATTAATTTCAGCAATTTATTAATTTCAGCAATCCACCCAAGCAAAATTCAAATTTTGCTTTAAGTTTTACTAGACCAATGCATACTAAAGGTGAGTTTAGTACAAGCTTAAAAACATTATGTTACTTAACAGACACATTCTATCTCTAAATTCTCTGAAACTGACTCAGGACCCTGGTCATGGATGTCTTTCAGACTCAGCGCAATGGCTGCAAAAGAAATCAACTCTGCAGGGTAAACTAGGTCTACGCTTCCAGTAATGTCCACTTTTTGGGATGTGAATTAACCAAGCTCTGCCTTCTACCACTTAACTGCAGCACAACACGTAGGAATTATGTTCCTTCCCCTACTGTCTGAAGGTGTTTAATGTCATCTCCTTTGTCTCAAGAATGTAAACCAGGATCATAAGGGTGTATGTCTTTTTACAGCCTCGTCTGCACAAATTTCAGCATTATCCATGGTTTATACCAGAGTTCCTCTATGTCCTCATGGCCTTGGATAACTGATAGCTGCCTGTTTTCCTATCAATCACTGGAAGTATAAACTTGCTGCAGCGAAACCAAAATCAACCCCCATTCACAACCCTAGAGATAGTATTGCAAAATCTGGGTTATTCTGATTTTTACTTTTCTATTTACACAAGGAAGAACAGACCTTCTCAATTAAATTCTTTCCGTTTAACACATCATTTCTTCTTACTTTTGGAGTCTGTAACACTCTTTGCCATTTCCTTTATACTTTCTGCTTCACTTTCACCTAAAATTCGCATGTGAGGCTTCAGCATTCTCCCTTATGTTTAAGCCTGCTTTCTGCTCCCGTACTGCATGCCGAGAAGAAAAGTGCCTCAGAAGCTGTGCTGTAAGTAGCAGTTCTTTCTCTCAGCTGTCAGTGCAGCAGCAAATGCTTGTTAAATACATTTGTGTAGATCAGCCCTTCCAGCTCTTCAAATCTGCAAGATCTGCCCCTGGAAGAATTTTTAGGGCACGTTAAGATTATAAATACCTAAGAAATTTCTTAAGAGAAGACATTCAAAGAGGAGGAGAAAAGTCTTAACTCTCTGGGTCATCACTTGCACGTTTATCACTATGACCATCAGGGTTGCTGAAAAGCTATTTAAAAAACATTCTTCAGAAAAAGATTCACTATTTTAACTAATGAACTTTATATTGTTTATAGACTGGCACATTACAAAGCATTAGAAAGTTTTTATTTCTTACTATTTCTAGGACAATTAGCACAAAAATAGAATGGTGTAATCTTGTTTAGCACTTATGAAGAGAAGTCTTTCCATTTTAGGCCATGAATACATAGTTGGGTCTGCAGCAGCTGTGCAAAGCAGAGCAAAAATTTGACAGTGCCTTTAAAGCAAGATCTTTCACCTCTCCTACTGAATAAATTAAAAAAAGGTAAAAAAAAAAATAAATCAATGGAGCATTGAGACGAGAGCTTTATGCTGTTTCAGTGCCTTTACACAATGCGAAAGGCAATCAGCTGTTAAGTCTTCCTAGACCTCATTTCACATTACAACAACTTTCACTTAACAGTAAGCCTATATAACACACTGGACCAGAATACTGAAGGGCTCAGTGATAAATCTTAGAAACCATGAAAAATACTAATTTAGATTTTTGTTAAACATTTCTTGCACGCTGTATATATTAACAAAAGTTCAATTAACAAATGATTGAGATATCTGATGGTGGGAAGGGGGTCGCCAAGTCCCTCTTGTTCGCGGACAGTGATTGTATCATACAGGCAGCAGAACAAGCTCACAGTACTGCTGTCAACAAGCATCTCCTGGTCCCCCGCCACAGTGCTGAAAACTTATATTCCCAGCACAGCACCTTGTCTCTAACGCCTCATCTCCCTCAAATCTGCAATATGAGAATGAAGACTATCTACCACAGCTGCTTTTGAGAGCAGGAGATCAGGGTAGGTGGGCAGCAAGGGAATACATGAAGGACAAAAAACCCCACCAAACCCAACTCCTTGACTGAAGCTGTTGTACTACCACATAAGTATTTTTAGTGTAATAATAAGAGTTCACAATCACTGCTGCAAAATTTGAGAAGGGAAAGACTAGTACCAGATGTTGTGTCACATTTTATTTTTCCAGTACAAAACCAAGAACCCTGTATATTGACCTAAATGCTCAAACAGCCCACCATTGAACCCAGTGTTCATAAAAAGCAGTCTTATGGAAGAAGCTGAGTCTGACTCACAAGTATCTTTTATATTTCTATATCGCATTTTTGTCTAAAGACATTCACCTAATCCCTGTTCTTTGGAGTAAGGCAATCATGTTTAGGAGGAAGGATTCCAGCTCTTAGAGCTAAATGAGTAAGATTTCCTTGTAATACTTTCAAGCATAAACAGGCTCTTACTCAACAGATTAATCCACTTGCATGATTTTAAAAGTCTGCCTAAAGCTAGATAGCCAGTCTGCTATTCCATTTATAGACACTTAATTTCACCCAGTTTTTAGTCATTAGAAATTGAGAGGGCTTAATACTTCTGAAATTAGGACCTTAACAGCCCCTAGAAGTTGCACCTTCACTTCGCAACGAACAAAAAAACCCCACAGTTAGTCTTGGTTTAGACTATTTGTTGTAAGACACTACACTGAGAACAATGTAGACATGCATCCTGTTTATTCAGCGGGCAAGGACATAACAGCCATCAGAACTGGAAGGCTCTTTTACACAACCGTAACAGTATAAGCAAGCACTACAAGCACTACAGTTCAACCTCAGTACTTGTTTACCCAGTCTTAGTAGTTGGGGGGGACCAGGGGGGGAACAAAAACCAACCAAAAACAAACAGGAATTTTTTTTTATACTGGAAACATCATCCAATATACCCTTCAGTACCACAAAAACTTATGTCACTACACAAAGCTTAAGAACTTCAGTTGAACTAATATTCCAGGGAAGTTTTATACTGGCAACACAATCAACTGAAGCTCTCCTGCCAGAGACAAGCCTTATCCTTTCTGAATTTTCTTTCATTTGTGACTCAAAGGAATAAAGACCGATAGACACGTGCTTGTGAAGGCTGTGCTTAAGAGAGCACATTGTTCTAAGTGATCTATAGATATACACTCTTACACACACATCAGTATCCTTACAGAAACAAAATTCTGAGTGACATGCTGAAGAGACTGGTTTGTTATGGAATACTAAGTAAAAAAAATAAATATTTTCATTCAACTTAGATAGCTGACAAACCTTCTAAAGGGGCAGGGTGAGCCCGCCTGACAAATTTCTGATCCACTCAGTGCTTTGGAGTACGTATTTTTTAAGTAGCAATAAAGATTTGACATAATCTTTGCATATTGTGAGAGGTAACATAAGGAGTTAATTGACATTTTCCTACCACGTATTTTTAGACAAACATAAAACCGATGTGTTGGATCAGACCCAGAGATCCATTAGTCCAGTTTCCTGTTAGACAGAGCATGATACTGGAAGCTTTTGCGACGGTCCTTTAAGGTCTGTTTCAGGTCTATGAAGGACAACTGCCCTACCTTTATGGCACACGAAGGCCGCTGACTAGGTATCTTCCACTCTGAAGTCAATTACTTTAAAGTCTTTCCAAAACACTGGTTACAACTGAGGGTATTAATATACAAACGTAAATAAATTCACTATAAATAATAACTTTTTTTTTTTAAAAAGTAAATATTTATTTATGTCAACTATAAGGACAAACTTAGATTTTTTCCATGGTAGGTCTGCAAGCTCTGACAGAGATAACAAGGCATGAGACAAACATGTTTAAGCCATCTGCACCATAGACTCTTTGGAAGGAAGACCTAAACAGAAGCTAGCATTTTTTTTTATTTATTTGGGCTTTATTTTTGGTAGGGTTTTTTTGTTTTTACCTTTTAAATGCTTCAGCAGGGTTCCTCTCACATTCCCCGGGTTGCAAGAGACTTTGAATAGCAGGATCTCTTAGTTTGTCCTCATATCCCTGGATCAGTCCACTGCGGCAGATTTGTGTAACTAAACCTCTGATAAACCCTCCAACACACAGCGTGTCAGAGTCTTGGGCCCGGCAGAAATGGAAGGCTAGAGCCTGACGATGTAAGCCTCTTTGCAGGTTTGCAGGTGAGCTTGGCCACAGTAACTCAGTACAGAGGGCCGTCTTCCCACTACCGGGCCCTCCTACCAACAATACACCCCAGGCAGCTCCTTTCCCAGAGACAACACCGGTATTATTCCCAGAATTCGCTACAAGGGATGGTTTGTTGGCAGCACTACTGCTGCAGTTAGCTTTCTCCTGGAGGCAGTGCTGAAGCTTGTGGAAAACCCACTCCCTACAGTAAAACTGCTTTCCCTGCAGCAAGCTGGTTTGAGCCATTTTATAAAGCTTCTTCTGTTGGATTTGTCATAAGCAGCAGTACACCTTCAACATCTCAGGGTAGGCAGATACACATTCATCTTGCACAGAAAAAATCTTCTGCACAGAACTTGACAGAGGTTACGGTAATCAGTTAACCTTTCTTGTGAAACTTAACAGCCTCTTCTCAGGACGGGCGTCACTCCATTTGTATGCTTTATTATGATTAGCATAACATAATCACAGTTCAGCTGACATCGTGAAGCGGTGTCTGATACCAACGCTCAACAATACTTCTCCTATGGCTCAAAAGTTCATACAGCTCCATGGCTGCATCTGTAGTTTATGCGGTTGTGTGTGTTCCCAGTATACAGGGGAGACAATACATCTGGAAAAACTGATGGAAAGCCAACTTTTCAGTGTATACTAAATGCCTTTCAACTCTAGGCATTAATCTCTCTGGATATACATCCAGAAAAAGCTGTCCATAATAAAATGTTCCTTCTGGGAATTTTATAGAGAAAGTGATTTTTCTTCAGAGTACTACATACATACCACAAACGTGGCTAAGCACCACTTACTAATAAACAGTCAGTTTGGACAGCGAGCTTTGCGGACTTCATACATCTGGGCAAGCGTCTGAGAAGTGCTTTGCATTACGGTTTCTTATGCAGTACAGACGACAGAAAAAACCCCCACGTTTACAGCTTCTTATTTCAATACATTCGTAAGTGTCTTCTTCAGGAACTCGGATTCTTACTGAACCTGTTCTCAGGTATCTTAATCGCAAGATGTCAGAAGAGACAACATCTTCCCCTAGAGCTCTGAAATAAAGAAGACAGCACTTTTAACCCTACACGCAAGTCATAATTCAGTCAATCGCAAATGCAGACAACAAAGAGTAAAGTCGAGGGCTCTTATTCTCTATTTTTGCTCATACTGTTAAATCGCATTATCTAAAAAGCTGTTTTAAAGAAATCTGGCGTTACAAGGTACGATTAGCCACATATTTAAAAAAAAAACATAACAAAAAACAATAAACGGATATGACAGTGTCCTCAAAACCACAGGAGCAGCAAGTCTTGCATTCTCTCCCGAGAAGAACCGAATATACCCCTTCATCTCAGAAACATTCTTCCTAACTAGGCTTCATCACCGAATTCTCTCCGAATTTTTCTACTGCCGGCTACGGGTCGCGGGGGTATTTCTTTTTTTTTTTTTGAAGTTTATTTTACAGGGGAGAGCTGCCGACGGCTCTTTGCACACTTCTTTGTTCACCACTCGCCGGCAGCAGGGCGCCCGGCAGACTGCGGGGTCACGGTTTAACACCCCCCCCCCCACCGCCGGCACCCCTCAC